TTAGTTCAGGGCTTGTTCAGGATTCACGGTAAAGCCTGGGAGGAGGTACAGGAGGATGGGCTCGATGACCCACCATGAGGTGGGCAGTGCCTCTCCAGTTTTGGTCACACCCTCATGTACAGCTTCCAGGCAGGGTTAGAAGGGGTCCTAGTTCCTTCTGGAGTTGTGGCTCTGGAGTCCCTTCCTATCTGACCAGTGTGTTTCCTGTTCTTACCATCAAGCTCTCCCCCTGATGACAGGTTGCTCCAATGTGCAGACATTCCTCAGCCCTTGTGTCCTTCACTCTCATCCCCTGGCCACGTCGCTCACTCCAACTCCACACATCAGGGATGGACCCACTCTCCTGTCCACTCACTCACAGAGGAGTTTATCCCCAAGCAAGCAAACATGCCCGCATCCTAACCTTTTCTCAGTACTGTCCCCCACCTGCAGGGATGGGCCTCCGTAACCCCGGGTCACAGTCCTAGAACACACAGGTCCCGTGAGACTGCATGGATGAACGTCTCCTTGGTGTGTGTGCTCACATGCGTATGTGTGTAGGTTGGACTCTGCACCTCTGGAGGACAGTCGGATCGTACTGAGCTGAGGTCAACTGAAGCTATGTCCTCAGTTTTGAAAGTGAAGATAGCCAGGCAGTGGTGGTGCATGCCTTTAATCCCAGCACTTGGGAGGCAGAGGCAGGTGGATTTCTGAGTTCGAGGCCAGCCTGGTCTACAGAGTGAGTTCCAGAACAGCCAGGGCTACACAGAGAAACCCTGTCTCGAAAAACCAAAAAAAAAAAAAGAAAGAAAGGATGCTTGTTTCTTTCTCCTTTGAACTGCAAACACTTGCTGCCAGGAGGGCAGTGCTCAGTGGCTGGGAATAGGCTGTCCCCTGCTGATCTGTTTTTTTGTATTGTTTTGTTTTTTTCTTAACATGTAAAGTGCATGGGGCGGGAGAGACGGCACAGCAGTTCAGAGCATTCGGTACTCCTAGCACCTCCACTCAACTCCAGCTCCAAGAGATCCAAGGCCTTCATCTGTTCTCTGAGGGTACCTCTCCACCCCCATGTAAAAATACCAAACTATAGCCAGACATTGATGTTGCACACCTTTAATCTCAGAAGCAGGCAGATCTCTGAGTTCGAGGCCAGCCTGGTCTACAGAACAAGTTCTAGGACAGCCAGGGCTACAGAGAAATCTTGTCTCAAAAAACAAAATCGAGCAACAACTAAACAAAACAAAATAACCCCCTCTCAACCCGAGCTACATGAATAAAGTTCCTATTTGGAAAGGAAAAGCTGACATGAGAAAGAGTTCTGGAAAGGGCTAGTCACTTGCATGGAGATATTTCAACAGCCACTTCTGCCAGAACGTGCAGGTGAAAAACACCCCACAACTTCCAAAAACAGCAAGGCTTACTTTGACCGTGAGGTTTGGGCCTAGCCTGGCAGCTCCCACAGAGAGCTGGTTCACTCTGGGTGGTCAACACACTCAGAGTAGTGGGGATCCAGGATGTATGCACATAGCAGGTGGGTTTCAGTACTCCCTCTTGGTTACTGTAAAGGCGGGTAGGGACCTGCTCTGGAACTTAATTTCCAGGTACCTATTGCTGAATCTTCTTTGAAAAGGCATAGCCATGCTGAGGAAAGCCTTCTACAGGCCGGGCCAGGGATCGTGTCAGGGACCTGGTCAGAGGCATTGCCCCTAGTTTCTTTTCTGAAGCTAAAGTCACAGAGAATTGTTAACTGGCTCTATAGTGGTGAGGGAAGGAGGGCTGTCTCTATAGTGGTGAGGGAAGGAGGGCTGTCTCTATAGTGGTGAGGGAGGGAGGGAGGGCTGTCTCTATAGTGGTGAGGGAGGGAGGACTGGCTCTATAGTGGAGAAGGAGGGAAGGCTGTCTCTATAATGGTGAGGGAGAGAGGGAGGGAGGGCTGGCTCTATAGTGGTGAGGGAGGGAGGGCTGGCTCTATAGTGGGGAAGGAGGGAAGGCTGGCTCTATAGTGGTGAGGAAGAGAGGGAGGGAGGGCTGGCTCTGCATCTGGCAGAGGATGAGTCATCAAGGCCTAGGAGAAGACTCCTACCCTCAGTGTAACACGCATGCAGCCATGGTCAGGCTTGGGAAAGGTAATGTGCCCAGTGCCCTATGCAGTAGGCATGACACTGGTGAGTCAGGAGTGGAAAGTCCTTTAAATCTTCCACACTGCAGTCAGAGTCTGGCCTCCACAGTGCCAGGCTGCTAGTCAGGTCTATCTTTCAACCACATGAACACTGTAGCTGGACTTTGCTACTTTTTGAGTCCTTCTTTTCCCACCCTTTATCCCCCCAGTTTCACCCCCTATCACTAGATAGGGGAGAACAGATGGAGAAGAAAGAGATAGAAATCTCTGAATCTAATTTCTGCTTGTTTCTTCTTTGCTTGTAGCTGGACTTTGCTACTTTTGTGGGTCCTTCTTTACCCCACTTTATCCTCCCAGTTTCACCCCATCACTAGATAGAAAAGAAAGGATGGGGGAGAGAGAGAAATAGAGATTTCAGAATCTAATTTCTTTCTTCTTGTTTCTTCTTTGAACACAAACTACTAACAAACTGTAACCAACCCCCCCCCCCAACAACCAACAACCACTGATCCTACCCATCAGGGTTCTAGCATTTATACACCCTCTAAAAAGTTCCCAGAACTTCAAACATCACACAATCGCAGAAACCATCTGCTAGAGCATGAGGCAAGCCATGGTCAGGGGCTGTGAAATAGCCTCAGGTCCCACACCTGGGATTAAACCAGACATGTTCTTATCATATTTCTTGGTTTTTTTTTTTTTTTGTTGTTGTTGTTTGTTTTTTTGATTTTAAAAAGAAATCAAAGTTCCAGAATTGTTACTACAGAGCACTGTCAGGGAATCTCACAGACAGTGGCGCAAAGACAGTCTCTCTCTTAGTTTAGAACCAAGCCTGACCCTCTTCGAGTAGTTACACAGAAGACAGGCAGTGGGGGATTCCGGCTACTAACTAGTGGCAGCAAGAAAAACTAGGGAAGCCTCAGTGTAACTACCCAGGTCCAGGATGCCAAAGGAAACACAACCTAAGCCCCTGGTTGCATAACTGATGTCTCAAGAGCAAAGGGACACTCCTCCAAAAAGACCAAGGACTTCCTCTATTTCACAGAAAAGTGCACAGGGCATAGTAGTACACACTTGTAATCTCAGCATTTTGGAGGTGATGCAGGAGGATTGAGAATTTGGGTTACAAAGTGAGATCTTGTCTCAAAACACAAAGGGGAGAGAGAGAGGGAGAGGGAGAGGGAGAGAGAGAGAGAGAGGGAGGGAGGGAGGGAGGGAGGGAGGGAGGGAGGGAGGGAGATATCTCATTCTATGGCTTTCGTAATAGCAGACAAACTAGATGCAAGTTATTAGCAATGAATTAATTAATCCCTCTGGCTTGACTAGAGGAATTGAGTTTTCTAAGCCCAAACCAACAGACTGTCAGGGGACAGGACGCAAGCCATTGTGGGATGCTTGCTTTTGCAGTCTACACACGAGGCCACAGTTTTTTGGAACCAAGTAGTTTTTAGCAGACAAACACCTGGGAAGCCAAGTGCCTCCAAGTCAATGGTGCCTGGGCCAACAACAGGCATACTTTAGAGCACGGTGGCCCCTTTGACTCTTAGCCTGACAGCACTCTGGGTGACTTCATCTCAGGAAGTTAACCGGAGGGACACAGGATCCTCCAGCTCTCGTCTGGCTACCTTAGAAAACTAAGCCTCTTTTTATTAGTTGGTGAGACTTGCTCAATCCCCTGAAGTCTCAGTTTCTCTGTCGTCTATAAAAGAGAGGGTTGTAAAACTGGGAGAGACCATCTTGAATAGTAAGGAGAAAAGAGGGCTTTGGAGGCAGGCATGCACATTTCCAACCTTAGCCCTGGGTGACCTAGAAACCTGGGTGACCCGAGTCTGCTTTACTTGGCAGTAAAATGTCTGTGGGTGGGGCCAGAAAGGCGGCTCCAGTTCATTGAATCGCTGCTCCTGCAGAGGACCTGAGTTTGGTTCCCAGCACCAACAATCTTAGGGGGCTTCTGGACCTCCAGTTAATTCAAGGTCCATGGAATTCCATACCCTTTCTGGCCTCAGAGGGCACATATACTCTCCTCTGGTCTCAGCATATCCATCAGACAGACAGACAGACAGACAGACACACAGACACAGATACACACACATACACACACACACCAGAAATAAAATAAATCTTTAAAAAAATGTCTCTAGTAAGGACTATTACAAGTCTTCTCATGTCATCCTACAGCAGGTACAAAATTCTTGATTCCAGACATTGTAAAGGGGCATGAATGTACTAAAATGGCAATAAAATAACGTAAAATGCTTTCCGGGACTAGTCTCATGTCTGTCCTCTAGCCAAGTGCCTGCCATCACTGCAGCTCTGACGGAAGACGCTGCATCAGCAAGGGCAGAGTGCAGAAAGCCCTGCTGGGCACTGAGACATGCTGGGTAAGACACATAGTCCTCCTAGGACATCAGCATCGTGAACCATGGAAACACACTATCAGGAGGGAGGTGCTGGGCAGGCCGGTTCCCTGTGGAGGGGCATCAGCCTCAACACCAGCACATGCTAACATCTGCAGGGTTCCAAAGCTGTACACTGCCAGCCAAGGGAGCCCTGTGTGCTCACTACAGGACTAGGACCGGAGAGCACACAGCACTACAGCTAGCATGCTGCAGGCTCAGCCCACACAGCACTCAGTTCGGGCTCCCAGCTCCAGAATCTGAGACTGGTTAGTGGGGTTCTAAGCAAGTGTGTGTATATGGGGAGTTCTTCATTAACAGCACAGCACTGAACCTTCTGTTTCCAAAAGAACAGTATATTTAAACTTGGGAAGAGTCATAACCTGGGAAGGATTCAGCTGTCACATTCTACAGACACTGGTCTGTCCTCTGGGAGAGGGTTCTGGGGAGTCTCTCTCTCTCTCTCTCTCTCTCTCTCTCTCTCTCTCTCTCTCTCTCTGTCTCTCTCTCTCTCTCTCTCTCTCTCTCTCTCTCTCTGTGTGTGTGTGTGTGTGTGTGTGTGTGTGTAGTGGTGGTGGCATGCATCCAGCATACAGATGCCTCTGACAAGTCTAGGAATAGGCTAGTAAGGAAGCTGTGCTCTGCAGCAACTGCAGAGCACAATGCTTGGCCATACAAAGGGCATAGAGGCCCAAGCAGAGGCGGCATACGCCCTGCCCTCATCTGCCACTTACCATGCCTGACAGCTGAAAGGCTGGCCCTTCTCCCTGGTCTCTTGCCTATAAAGTAATATAGGATCTCAGAAGCCCTTGGTGTTAGAGAGGAAGTCAGATGTGTTCAGTCTCAGTTGTGGGGCCCTGGGAAGCAGGTGGCTTGTTCCACAGTCCATGGCACTAAGGGCAGCTGTGTGGGAGAGGCGAAGGAGCAGTGGCTTAGTGCCCTGATGTGTGCCACAGTCATGTGCATCAGGGGGCAGCAGGATGGCCAGGCAGCGTGCACTCAACTCCCTTCCCATCTGTGAAAATCTCAGGGTCCCAGGTGCGACTCTAAAGGCTCAACAGGGTTCTGGTCTGGACTTGACGCTTTGCTCATCCTAAGAACTCCAGTTCAGCCCAGTCTTCCACCTTCACACAAACTGGGACAGGTTGGGAACTTTGATGTTGAGATCGCCAATGTTGATGTTCCTGGGGATCTCAGGAAGGTTGATGTTCTTCACAGCAGACACCGCTCTTGCAGGGGCTGCTGAAAGGCCACCCTGGGAAAGGGGAAGAGAGTGTTAGTCGGTTTCCAGTGTCATCTGCTTAAATCTAAAAGCAGGTGACAGAGGTCTTAAGCATTCCAGAGGGCACATACAGACGTTCTCACTCCTCAAGGACAGCCAACACAACCCTATTTAGCTTATGTGCAGACCTGCAGCCTTTCTTGCCGTCCCACTACAAGGTCTGCACAGGTGGGCTGTGTCTTATGCAGTTTTATAACCATGGCAACTAACACCACTCATGGCCCATGGCACTTGCTCAATAAATACTTGCTGTGGGATTCTGAGAGGATTTATCCAAGTCCTAAAATTTGAAGATACTCGATTTACAAAACAAAACAAAATGAAACCCTTTCCTTAAGAGTCTACCTTACAGAAAAGTGCAATGCCAGAGAACTTCTTGAAAGGAGAAAGAATGTCAGCTTTAGGACAACAGCTTGCCAACCAGTTTGAGCTGAAAAAAAGATGGGCTCTGGACGTCATGTGGCAACAGGCTGGGAAGTAGTAACCCACACTGGAAAATCTGCAGCACACACGCGGCCTGGACCCTGCCCTCCAGGCTCAGCAGGGGAGTGGAGGGGGTGACACAGCTCTCAGGACCTCACTCTAGCTCTGCTCCCCCTGCATGTCTACCTCTGCTGGTTCCAGACCCCTTGGCTGACTCACTCACTGTGCCTGGAAGCTTCCCAGCCGGCACTTCTCAGAAAACTCATCCAGAGCTGTGGCTAGAAAAGCTCTGACAAGATTAGCAGTCCTCACAGGAAGGACTCCTGGTTTTCTAAGACAGGTTCATTCACAAAGCAAAGAAACCCTTGGAGACACTCAGAGATGTCACTGTCCCACTCTTTCTGCAGCTGTGAGGGGTACCCTCTAACTGCTGCTCACTGAGGCCTGAGGCAGGCTAAGACCACAGTGGGACTGGCCTGGCTTTAGCACGAGCTCCTCCATCAAGCTCTGCCACATGAGGATGAGTAGGGACAGTGTTTTCTTTGTCTTTTTTCTTTTATTGGTTTTTGGAGACAGGGTTTCTCTGTGTAGCCCTGGCTGTCCTAGAACTCACTCTGTAGAACAGTCTAGCCTCAAACTCACAGAGATTTGCCTTCCTCAGCCCCCAGAGTGCTGGGATTAAAGGCATGTGCCATCACTGCCTAGTAAGGAACTCTTTTTTGTTTGCTTTTTGAGACAGGGTTTCTCTAAGTAATCCTGACTGTACTAAACTCGCTATGTAGACCAGGCTAGCCTCAAACTCACAGAAATCACATGCTTCTGTCTCCTCAGTGGTGGGACTTAAAGTGTGTGCCATCACCACCTGCCCAGACATGGTATTTCCAAATCAGCATTATTTTAGTTTTGAAGAAGCTTCACTGGAAGTAAAGAATCTTAAATTTCTAGAGGCTAAAAGCTAACCGTGAGCTATGGCTGCTCAGAGAACAGATGCACCACAAATGTGAGCCATAATCCTATTCCAGAGTCTGTTTCCTTCCTGCATCTGCCTTTCCTTTAAGCCTGAGATCTCAAGTCGCCCCACCTGTTTAATGTTTATACTGGCCTTCATGTTACTGTTGAGAAACCAAGAAAGACAGACTGGGAACCATTCCTAAGGACTCAGAGAACAGAAGCCCACACAGCAAACACAAACCCACACAGCCCACCCAAGCCCACCCAGAATACACAGCCCATCCAAGCTCTACATGCTCTACACAGGCACACGTTCCTCCCTGTACCCAGTCAGGACAAGAGTGCAGCTGCTTCCTTACCTCTGACTTCTCCAGCCGGTTTTGCGCTTCAATTTGAGCCACAATTTCATTCATGTTTGTCTCCAACACCATCCCACCCATCACTACCTCCTGGAGGATGTAGTGCACCTAGAAGAGAGGCATCAAGACTCAGAGCACAGCACAGTGGTTTCCATTGGGAGCAGCAGCAGAGGGGTCAGAAGGCCACATTCTGATTCACAACTCAGCCCCCTCACTGGAGACCACAAGACGTCATGGTCTTCTATCAGCAATGGCAGAAGGGTTTGGTACTCTCAAGACAATGAGTCTCAAAAGACTGAAAACAGAGACTCAAAGAGATATTTATACAGCCATGTTCATATCAACAATAGTCACAATGGGCAAAAAAATAGAAGCAACCCAAGTGTCTACTCTCTGATGAATGGTGGCTGAGGCTCCAACTCAGACGGATCATGTTTAAATTCTAGCCCTGCTGTTTGTTAACTAGGTGGTCTTTGGCAAATTACCTTCTCAACGCTCCTTACAAAACTCCAGGAATAAATGGGAGGGTGAGAAACCTCGATGGAGAACTAGACCACACTTTGCTAGTGCCTGCTACATGCCGGGCCCACACAAGTAGAGATGCTGTTCTGTCATCCGTCAGACTGTTATCCCACTGGCTGGCATTCAGTCAATCCAAGCAGCTGAGATGGTCTAAATACTTCCCTTAGCGTGGAGCTCGCAGTTGCCAGCCAGCCAGCAGTTCTCTAAGCAAAGCTAACTCTTGGTGCACTACTGAGACAGAGCAGAGGCCATTCAACCACTACACATGGTGACAGAAAGGCTGCAATGCGGAGTCCTGGGCGCCATCATAACCTGCTTACAATCATGGGAATTCAACCCAGGGCTTTGTGTATGGTAGACAAGCACTCACCACCTAACCAGTGTCCTACGGCCTAGCAATGTTCTTGTTACATTGTTCAGGAAGACCCTCTGCTCACAATCCTCCTGTCTCATTTCTCAACTAGATGTTGCCAACTTGTGCAGGCCCAACCTGGCACTTTATATTTCAAACTAAACTGTATCAATGAGACTTGTAATTACTTCCTGTTAAACCAGAAAGGTAGGAAGTACTACCTGCTGTTATCAAGTAAGGGCAGAAGTACTGGGCCAGTGCACAGGCGGCCAGAAAAGGCCCTGGTGTGTGTGTGTGTGTGTGTGTGTGTGTGTGTGTGTGTGTGTGTGTGAGGTGTTTGTGTGTGTGTGGTATGTGTGGTGTATGTGTGTTCCTAGTTTAGACCACTGATCTCCAGTCTCAAGTCAAGTGTCAACTTGTTCTTTGGAACCAAGAAAGCTGAGGAAAAGATGTGTGAGGCTGCTCTCATGCATTTGACTGTGTCCTCAGACTCTGCCCACAGTGAGCTGAAAGAAAGCACTACACATGGAACTGGGATTTGTCCTTTGACCTTGGGGAAGGAAAACATACTGAAGTAAGCCCTCTGTGTAGCCGTTTGTTAAGTCTTCCCACTTCTCTGCTCTCTACCTCTGCTTAAGTTCTATACAATATATACTATCTATACTGTCCATTCATTTACATCTACATGTAAATACTTAATAGTAAAAGCTTCATAGTTAGGCAACTTAAAAAACGTTATGCAAGACTGGTTTCCATATTATTCCTTGGAGGAACTCCACTGCTTACACTTCCCTATCAAATAGTCCTCTGGATGTATCAACTGTGTGCGAGTTCCTCAGAAAGCAAATACTGTATGACTCAACAATTCAATTTCTGGGCACACACTGAAAAGACTGAAAACAGAGACTCCAAGAGATATTTATACAGCCATGTTCATATCAACAATAGTCACAATGGGCAAAAAAATAGAAGCAACCCAAGTGTCCACTCTCTGATGAATGGATTAATAAAATATGATATATTAGACTAAAATAAAATAGACTACTATGTTGCCTTTAAAAGGGAGGAAGTGCCACAACTTATTGCACACACCCATACAATATTGATAAACCCTGAGGACACTGTTGTAAGTAAACTAAATTAGACACAAAAAGATACACTACAGCCTCGCGGTGGTGGCGCACGCCTTTAATCCCAGCACTTGGGAGGCAGAGGCAGGTGGATTTCTGAGTTCGAGGCCAGCCTGGTCTACACAGTGAGTTCTAGGACAGCCAGGGCTACACAGAGAAACCCTGTCTCGAAAAACAAAACAAAACAAAACAAAAAAAGATACACTACAACATGGGTGTGATGGTACACTCAGGAGGCACAGGCAGCATTCAAGGACAGCCTGGTCTACAGAGTAAGTTCCAGGATACCCTGCCTCAAAAAAACAAACAAGCAAAAGTAAAACCAAACCAAAATAAAACAAAAAAATAAAAAGGCATACTATAGGAATTCATTTTATGAGGTACCTAAAGTTGTCAAATATAGAAACAGAGCAGAACGGGAGCTGGGGGCGGGGCAGGTATGCCGCAGTGTGTTCAGAGACGGATGAAGACCTCTGCTGATAGACAGTGGTAACGGCTGCACATTGATGTCATGAACTCAATGCTCCTGCCTCGCAACGTTAGCAATGGTAAGGCTGCTCAGCCTGCCAGCCTTACAGAGACACACACAGCCCTGTCTGTATTCAAGCACTCTCAGTGCTTCACTGGCTTTGGCTTCACCCCCTCATCTTCACTGGGGCAAAGCAATGCTTTCGCTGAGTATCAACCATGTGCCAAGTGCTTTAGAGAACTTGTTTTAATTTCACAATACTTATTTGAGTTTGGTCATTGTGATGGCTAGTTTTGAATGTCAACTTGCCACAACTTAGAATCATCTGGGAAGAGAGTCTGAATTGAGTAACTGTCTTTATTGGGTTATTGTCTGGCAGTGGTTCTCAAACTTCCTAAAGCAGAGACCCTTAACTCAGTTCCTCTTGTGGTAACCTCAACCATAAAATTACTTTTCTTGCTACTTCCTAATTGTGATTCTGCTACTGTTATGAACTGTAATGTAAATATCTTATATGTAGGATATCTGACACACAACCCTGTGAAAGGGTTGTCCAACTCCTGAAGGAGTGGAGAAGCACTGGTCTGGGTAAGACTGTTGTGACTAGAAACTGATACAGGGGACAAGAAGAAGGTCTGAGAGTGGCAGGCAGTGGGTGGACTCACTTCCCTCTGCTGTCTGTGCAGGTGACGGACTGGAACTGTAAGCCGAGTAAGCCTTTCCTGGCAGGATGCTTCACTGCAGCAGCAGAAGTGAAAGCAGGACAGCTCCTTCACTTCAGATCTGAGAAAATGCAATGGAGTCTGCAGCTCCAGGAGCCATGGTTCCAGAACCAGGCACTGAGTGTGGGTAGAGCAGAGCCCTGTATCTGTCACGGCATTCACCTATGACCCTGGTGCACAGGGCATCATTTTAAGGCTTTACAGCTGATGTGACATGTGACAGCTCCAGTGGGAACTCTGCAATGTTTTACCTCAGGGCCCAAAACAATGGACAATGCAGAGTAACCATGCTGAACAGGTGAAAGACCTTCCCATATCTTACTCCTTGGCTTCAGAGATTCAGAAGACAAAAGAAAGTGTGACTACAGAGGTTTTATGAACAAAATATAGCAAAAGACCTAATTTATAATGTTGTGGGAATTAGAAGATAGGAAAAATGTTAAGGACGTTTGTTTTGTTTTTGAGACACGGTTTCTCTGTGTAGCCCTGGCTGTCCTGGAACTCACTCTGTAGACCAGGCTGGCCTCAAACTCAGAGATTCATCTGCTTTGCCTCCTGAGTCCTGGGACCAAAAGTGTGCCATCCGCACCATCACTACTTGGAGAAAACTTTTTTTTTTTTTTTTTGGTTTTTCAAGAAAGGGAGGAAAGAACTTCTAATTTGAACGTAAAGACAGAATTCCCAAAAGCCATTCAAGTGTGTTCTAAATATAACAGGGAGAAATGAAACTGGAAACCCATTTTCAACAAAACCAGAAGAAAACACAAATCCCAGATCTCCAAACAGTGGCAAAGAGATCAGAGGAGGGAGCTCAGGCAAGGCTCCCTTTGTGTCATAGAAGGAAAAGATGTAACAGAGAGGATGGGAGCTAATGACCTCAGAAGGCAAAGCACACACCAAAGAAATGCTGATGGAGGGCAGAAATTTCCTTGGAGCTAGAGTTGGGACCACATTTTAAACAAAAAAAGAAAAAAACAAAAAAAAAAAAAAAAAAAAACACAACCCTGCTGTCTATGCCTCACAGATGTGGTGTCTGTGGCAGCAGAAAATGTCTTTTTTTTTTTTTGGGGGGGGGGTGTTCAAGACAGGGTTTCTCTGTATAGCCCTGGCTGTCCTGGATCTCACTCTGTAGACCAGGCTGGCCTCGAAGAACTCAGAAATCCGCCTGCCGCTGCCTCCCAAGTGCTGGGATTAAAGGCGTGCGCCACCACCGCCCGACTCTTTTTTTTTTTTTTTGGTTTTAGAAAATGTCTTTACACTAGAGAAGCTTGTGGATGCTGAGCTTTATTAGCTGCCTAGAAACAAGGTTTACAGATTTCAACTAACATGGGAACAACAAATCCCAGCTTACAATACCCTCCCCCAAAACAAAACTCCTAAAAATAGCTGGCACCAGAAAAGCAAGTGCATTTAAAGATGTTTATAAAGAGAAGTCAACACAGAAGCTAAATAAGGGAACAATGAAGAAAATGAGGAAAGCCAAACGGTAGACCAAGGTCACAGACGAGAACATGGATGCTGGGTGCACAGTCACAACGCAGCATTCTGAAAAGTGTGGGCCAAGAAAACACAGGGCAGAAGACAGCTCAGAGGAACAGCACTAGCACACACAAGACCCTAGATTTGATTCCAGTACTGCAGATAAAGCAAATTACAATTTAAAAAATGTATTTGTGGGAACATGGTGGTACCTACTTGTAATCCCCATCACTCAAGAGGTCAAGGGAGGAGAAACAGTTGTGTCTATGAAGCAAGAACTCCAAGTAGGAAATCGCGAGCTTACAACAGAGAGGGAGACTACAAGACGAGAAAGTGCGTCACAGTGGGACTCGGGCTAAGTGGAAGGAAAAAAACCTACAGGATTGAAGGTAAAAATAGAAAACACAAATCTAGAGACATCACTAAAACATAAT